AAATGATAGTTATATCTTAAAAGAAATGCGCAATGTAAGTTGTAATGTAGGGGTGCGGAGTATACAGTGCAATTTTACGGAATACAGTGAAATTTTACGCAACTTGCAGTGCAATTTTACTACTAGTATTATACAGTGCAATTTTACGGAATACAATACAGTGGTATTAGTATACAGTTTACGTAATACAGTGCAGTCGTATTAGTATACAGTGCAATTTTACTAGCACTAGTATACAGCGCAATTTCACTTCTTCAATGTCACAATCTTGAGAGAAGGATTCAAATTTCGCGCCCTTCCATCCAACTCCCATGATGCTTCGCGTTACCTCTGTCCGCCACAGATGACTTACTGCGCATGTGTGCCAAATCCTGGAGAAAAAGATTCGCGTTCGCGGGAGACTTTTCCTGATTTCTGGGCGATTTCTGAGCCTCTAAAAACACAAACAGAGGAAAGGACGACACTCAAGTCTTTGAAGAGGAGGTAGCACCAAATATCCACGCCGAGTGTGCGATAGAAATCGGTAAATTAGTCCGATTATGACGCTAGGTTTAGGTCGGTGAAGTGGGGAGGGGGGCAAAAAAATATATCAATTTTTTACTATAAAATTTATATTGCGTAAATAATGATATCATTTCGTATATCATATTTCGTATTGAAATCTTATTGCTGCCTACGTTCATGTCAGTTTGGAGAGAACTACCCCATGTTTATATCATCTGATTTGAATAATAATGAATGGATAACTTCATGGCATAATAATTGGCAAGTTGTTGAAAGGACTTGGAGCAAATTTGATATTATAAATCCTTCAGAATAATAGAAACCTGTGAACCACCAAGACAAGTCATCTAAAACTCTCATGACATCCAAGTTTGTATGATGTTATACTATAATTCCTAAACCTGTATCCATAATGTTAATTTTATACTGTAAGTTATACTTTTATAGTACATGTATTTACAAGAAATGTACTAACTGTTATAGACTCTGCAAACCTATGAAGGGGGTGTTAATCCACCAGTTTGTGTCTTCGGTATCCCTCTACTTCCACTGCCTTTTACCTCCAAAACAAATGTAGGTAGGTACATGTTCACACCCATGAGGTTTCAGGAATTGGACCCATGACCCCTTGATCCTCCCCTTTCTGCTAGCCTAATCTTGCTAGAACTTGCATCTGCCCCGAAAACAGAGAACCATGCAGGCGACAGTGCCGGTGAACGTTCTGAGATTGCCAAAGTGTAATAAAAAAAAAAGAAAGAAAATAAAGAGACAATTCCTACCTACTGAGCCAAATTTTTTCAGGAAAGAAACAGGAAACACAACATTTTTTTACCTATGCCTAAGATCTTCTATTTGCCCTGAACACAGATAACCATGCAGACGACAGTGCCGGTGAATGTTCCCAACGTCCCGCCGCCCAACAAGACGTGGGAACTGAGCCTGTACGAGCTGCACCGCACGCCGCAGGAGGCCATCACTGACAACACAGAGATCGCCGTGTCTCCGCGCAGCCTGCACAGCGAACTCATGTGTCCCATCTGCCTGGACATGCTCAAGAACACCATGACTACCAAGGAGGTAAGGCAATAGTTGGTCATCAACCTTGTATGAAAGTTATACCTATTATACATATACAGGACTCTGTACCTAATACCTCACACTCACTGTCCGGATTATCGTCTGTAGTTCCCCTTCTTCCGATGGTTAGACATGCCAGGTGGCCATACGGTACAAAATATAAGTTAAAACACAAGTGGATACCATTTTTGTTGGCAAATTGCATCTCAAAGTTTACAATTTTGACAGTTTAACACTTGAAAATCAGGAAAACTTGTGAATACTTCTGTTTTATGTAGATATATGTAAACCCTCATGCAAAGACAACAAGTTGACATTTGAAGGCCTGCACTGACATAATGCACAGCTACTCACGCTAGGTATTGAACAATGTAGATTGGAATTACTCACTTATATTTACCATGCAGTTTAAGGATCTCATTATGTTTACCTTCGGAGAAAGAAAATGTCTTGTTTTTGCTCTGTTTCTTCATCCTCTTCTTCTTCTCCAATCAGATAAGGTCAATGACCAGGACCAGATGTCTCTCACCATGGTAACTGGTGTTAGGTTACATAATGTTGCAAGAGCCATGCACAACTGAGTTCAAGAGGGGCTGCATGGTCACTATACCGGTATATACGATCATGTTTGAATAAGACTAAACAAAGCAGTTTGTTGAGCTTTGCAAATGTTACCTTTCTAGTTTCCTCTCTGTTTTTCCCCCAGTGTCTGCACCGGTTCTGCCAGGACTGCATCATCACAGCGCTCCGCAGCGGGAACAAGGAGTGCCCCACCTGCCGCAAAAAACTGGTGTCCAAACGCTCGCTCAGACCGGACCCCAACTTCGACGCTCTCATCTCTAAGGTAACAAGGAGTATCTATTACTATATTTGGCAATGATGTGCAGTATTTGATTGCAGGGCTAAAAATACCACTCAATCACTCAGTCCTCACCACCTGTAGGTAAAATTGGAGCTGTGCAGGTATTTCTGATGTCTACCTGCACTGATCCATGTACTGGGTTACATATACATGTAATACCCTGCATATGTTGTATGCAGTGTATTTATTACATGTATGAAGAAATTATGGTTACGGTTCCTGAACAGTTACTGTTTTCAGTATGAGTGTAATTTTCCATTTTACCCATAGAAAAAGGCCCAAAATTATGCTGCACACAGGACCCAAAGACTGTGAAGTACATGTACATTTATTGCCTGTGTTCCTGAAGTGCAGTTTCTGTATGTTCTGCCATAGGGCACTTGTAACCTAAAGGGAATGAAGTTAGTCTGCCATCTGATTATATTAATCTTTGCAGAAGGAAAACATGTTGTTTTTGCTCTGTTTCGTCTTCCTCTTCTTCTTCCTTTTCTTCTCAAAACAAATAAGGTCAATGACCCGAACCAGACATCTGTCACTAGTGTTGGGTTACATAATGTTGCAATTTAATAGCAGGAGGGATTTAGACTCCTGTTTGACCATATATATGAATGTGTTTGAGAAATTGATTATTGTTGTTGTTGTTTAGATCTACCCTAGTCGTGATGAATACGAGGCCCACCAGGAACGCGTGCTGGCCCGACTGAACAAGCACCACAACCAGCAGGCACTCAGCTCCAGCATCGAGGAGGGCCTCAAGCTGCAGGCACTCAACAGGTCTGTACAGGACACCTAAGTCTGGGGTGACCTGGCTTTTTAGTGTTATCAAAGCAGCAGAACACAGTATTAATGGCTTTTCTGTTATTTTATAGCTTATACCTTAAACTCAGACATCGGTTACTTTTTCATATCTTGTCACCTTGAGGTCCTCAACTATAGAAATTTCCCTAGGTGAAAACTGTGCTCTGCTACCTTGTTACTGTCATCAACAACAAGGGGATGCCTTGGTCTCCTAATAGTGTTCAGAACGAATGTTTAAAAACATTTGAATATGTAACAACTATCACATTTCAAGACAAGTTTTAATCTACGACTGAAAGTAGAGCAGTTGATGATGTGTTGAAATGGTCTTGTACTACAGAGGAGAAAAACAAATCAGATTGTTTTTCAAAAAGCCTCATCTTCTTGGAGTTCTCGAAACAGGAACCCGTTCCATTTTGGTAAATCGAATCTTAACCCATCTTCCATCTTGTCATCTGCATGTTTTCATGACACAATAATGAACAGAACAAGAAATTCACACAGTCTTGAGATATTCCATGTCGGTATCTTCGATTTCTTGTCTAATTGTTTAACTGAACTGCCTGTTTAGAGCCCAGCGTGTGAGGAAACATCTAGAAGAGCCCAGCGGCGGGGACCTCGGACAGCCACGGAAAAGACCCAAGACTGGATCAGACGAGTCTGGGCCAGAACAGGAGACTCACCACTCAGGTAGAAACAGTTCAGTTCTTCAACAGAAGAGAGGATTCATTCCTCAAGCTAACCGACATCTATCACATCACAGTTGTCCTCAGTAAGACATATGGAGTCCACCACATATTTCCTGTTTGGAACTTTTATTCATTAACTGATTAATTTTTGCATGGAATGGAATATGATGTTTTCACAGTGTTTTGAGTTCACAGATGAAACAATTCTCTAGAAATACTACTAGTAATACATATTTATGGTATCATGATTTTTGATCAGTGGAGAGGTCACTGGGATAATGAAACTACCGCAAAAGGTTTACAGCATATTTTTTTCCAGGAGGAGAGAATTTCTGTGACCCACCAGAACCCTTGAATGAGGTGGAGTTGGTTTTCAAGCCGCACCCCAACAACCACGAAGACTCAGAGCATGGTAGTCAAACAAGGTACATTTGTACATTTTATATACAGTTCAGATATAGTTTTAGTGTATATGTCGCTGACCATCAATGTCTGCTATGAAAGCTGCCCATACTGCATGCATCAGTAAAACCTATGTGTGCAAATTTAGGGTATTTGATACTGGTACACACACCAGGCTAATTGGAAACTTTAAACCTGGTCCTGCAGCACCCAACGATTGTTGGGTTGCACATACAGTACCATCTATGTAGCACTCTGTATAGGTACTATTTGGGGTGTTCTCGTGCAACACATCACACCACAGTGAAACGCAACGAATGTGGAAGTAACTACGCCACCACAGGGCAAAAAGACATGAAATTATTGAAAAAATATTGAAATAATATATTAAAGTCACTGGACTTGGATCCGGACTTGTAAGAATGTTTAGGTTCAAGTCCAAAAAAACCTAAAAGTCAAGAACCGAGTCCGGACTTATTACCATAAAAGACCATTTCACATACCCCTTTTCTTTCCAAACCACCTGAAACCTTCCGTAGATTGTAAAATCTTTGCTGCAAAATGAAGAAAACATTGTCATTGGGCATCGTCAAGTACCGGCCTCCATGTTATGTGGCCAAAATTTCACCCAGACAACATTGCAAGGTTGCCAACATGCAATTTTGTGTATGCCATGGGTTTAGGTACGGACTTACAAGTCCGGAACTGAACCTAAACCTCTGGACTTGAATCCGGACCTGAACCTAAATGTGGGTTTAGCTATGCAGCACTATGTATGATTGGTTAAAGTTTCTAACGATGACACATGTAAATCTCCTTCCGCCCGCTCTCTCCAGCCCTACTGACATGACTGAATCCGCTGCACGTTCTCTCAGGTAAAGTAGTCCACCCCAAAATTTTGCCAGAAATCACTGGATTCACTTGATTCATGAGAATTAGACTACATACAGTTCCAAGGAGCTCGTCGGCAGAACGTACTGCACCTGTACAAAACCCCCATTTTTCCCGGTTTTTGTTGGAATTTTGGTCAACGTAGCATCAGAATTTTGTCTGTTGCAGACGATATCTTTTCACACATAACATCTGGAAACTACAGACCGAGTGTTAACCTTATATGCGCAAATACCACCTTCTATGAGACATTCTACATTGCAGTACGTTCAGCTCCTCAGGTAAAGTAGTCAAACCGAAAGTGACTGGATTCACTTGATCCATGAGAATAAGACTACATACAGTTCCAAGGAGCACGTTGGCAGAACGTACTGCACCTGTGCGAAGTCCGTAATGTGTTGTGCATAGCACGTCGTTAGAACGTCTCATATAAGGTCGTATTCATGCATATAAGGTAACATTCCATCTGTAGTTTCCAAATGTTGTGTCAGAAAAGATATCGTCTGCAACGCAAAATTCTGATGCAACGTTGTCCAAAAATCCAACAAAAACTGTGAAAAATCAGGGTTTCGCGCAGGCGCAGTACGTTCTGCTGATGTGCTGTTATTCCAAGGGATTGTCGGTAAGGTTGGATTCACTCTTGGGTAAAGTAGTCCACCCCAGAAATAAAAAAATTAAAAAAAACTGGATTCACTTGATCCATGAAAATATGACTCCACTCAGTTCCAAGGGATTGTGGGTAAGGTCAAAGGTCAAGGACCTAAAGATGTTCCCAGCAACATATGCAATGTGCCAAATATAAAGAATGCCCAATATTTGAATGAAAGCTCATCTGTGTTGGTAGAATCCATATAGTTCCTTTTTTGTGTTCAAACAAAGCTTAAACTCTACAACAAAAAAACACTACTGAACAATTTAGGAATCGTAACCTTTGGCCTTGGGCACATGTGCACTTGGAACTTTGAACTAGCTTATAGTATTGGTGACACATTGGTATGAATGTGACCATGTGTTTGGCTGATGTAGCATAGCACGTCGGCATAACGTACTGCACCTGCGCAAAACCCGTAATGTAATGTACATAGCACTTCGGCAGAACGTCTCATATAAGGTTGTATTTGCTCATATAAGGTTAGCATTCCGCCAGTAGTTTCCAAATGTTATGTCGGAAAAGATATCGTCTGCAACAGGCAAAATTCTAATGCAACGTTGACCAAAAATCCAACGAAAACCGCAAAAATTCAGGGTTCCGCGCAGGCGCAGTACGTTCTGCCGACGTGCTATGTAGCATGTCCTAGGATATGTGAGAGTTTGTTAAGTTTTAAAAACAATAATCATTTTTATATTAAGTCATATTTTATAGGCTATTTTTGTAAAAGATGTATTCATTTTCAGGTAAAAAAATATGTCCTTTAAACATAGTGGTAAAATGATGCTTTGACTTTAGTTTGAGCTGCACCAACTTCCTACCTTTCTTTCCTTGCTTTTGGCTTTTGCTTCTTCCTACATGTAGTTTACTTGTATTTTGATGACTGCAAGTATCTCAAATTTCTTTTCATTGAAGTCAAAGTGGTGTGGTGAATTTTACATACATGTTACCATGAACAGAACTGTAGTAGTGTTATAAAGTATTATTTGAGAGGAGAACAGGCACCTAGCTGCTTAGTCAAAAAGTTCCCAACTGTCTGAGTCTATTTTGCGCCTTTTTTGAATGGCGCTCTACTACTGGATAAATAACGTTATTTATCCAGCAGTAGTTTGATTTTTCTTTGAAGAATGTGTTTATGTTTTGTTTGATATCCAACCAATCCATTTTTCTGGGGCTACCACGTTTCCTCAGTCCCTTGCTGTGACCAGGTTTGACTGTATAATTTGACAAAATGCGGCCGATGATCCATCCACAACATGTTTGTTCCCCTTTATGTCCCTTCATACCAGTGGATGGCAACCTACTAGTGTCCCACCAACACCCGAAGCTGTGAACGAGATTGAGTTAGTCTTCAAACCACATCCCTCACCCACAGCTTCTAAGGCTGACAATCAGACAAGGTAGCTCCATGTGTACATAGTTCTCACCGGGCTGTTCTAGTGTAGGGGCCCCCTACGCTGTGATTTGGGCCCCCTATGCTGTGATTTGGACCCCCTACACTGTGATTTGGGCCCCCTATGCTGTGATTTAGCCCCTTACACTGTGTTTCTGTATCTGTAGAGCCGGTATAACCGCCTTTCGGCGTAACACACCAGCTTGTTTCAACCAGCGTAGGGGTGTTTTTTGGGTGCAGAAGCTTCATAAATCTTTCAAAAATTAAAATATAACTTCAGAATGAAGCTATAGCAAAGGGAAAACAAAAAATGTCCCTCAATAAGCAAGAAACAGTGTCTCAGGGGGTTATGAGGTACAAAATGTTGTGGGGAGAATACCAGACCCCCTGCTGTGGTCATGTTTTGGGGACTCAATGCGCAACTTGTGCTGCAGAAAGTTGCCCTTCTGTACCCGACCCCTACGCTGTGAAAAACTCCTGGTGAGAACCCTGGTGTATGTGTACTAGGGCTGCGGACCGGTACAGTGTACCGGTCCAATACCGTAAAAATCGTTTCGGTACAGGTCCAAAATACCGGATCATGAAGTAACGAGTATATACCGAAATAGCTAGTTTACACCATGTATATGACTAAAGATAGGTAAATCCTACCACAAAGACGAAAAATTAGCACTGGAAAAGACGTAAACACCGTCGATTGATTTGAGATCCTCAGTCTCACGAGACATCGCGAGAGTGTGGCTGATCCAGGGTTGTGATTGGTCAACAAACTCAAATCAGGTCAGAGGTCAGTCATTTTCCCTTCCCTCCAACACTTTATTATTGTTTCTGTGTCATGATTGAAAAAGTGAAGAACACGTGTTAATTTGTCAAATTGTTCAGGTACAGGTACAGGTCCGGACCTGTACCTAAACCTCTGTACCAGTACCTGTACCTGTACCTGATGTTACGTTTAGGTACGCAGCCCTAATGTGTACCTGCAAACCATGTGTGCCTCAGGGCATCTTCTTGGGACCCCCACTCAATATCCACATGCATTTACTGCAGTTTTTCTTTCAGTTGGTTTTGTTGAAATTGTTTTGAATCAGCACGTGTTTGTGGAGAAATTTGGAATTTTAAATTATGGGGCTGCCTTCATCATACCACTTGTATTTATGCAAAAAAAGGATACCTTAGAATTTCAAGATCATGCATAAAAGAGACATGTACAGGGAGTATTTTTTGTGTTTTGTTTTTTAACAGTTGACTTTTATATACATGCCAATAGATCAGTAAATCCTTGTAGGTCTGGTTGGAAATTCAGATGGAGTTTCATGGAAAAAAAGTATTCATTTCTCGTTTTACTCTTTAGTCTTTGCTCTATGCACTTCAGCATTTCCTCTTTTTGTGCTCATCCTGCAAAGCAGCCAGTGACATACTAGTACTGTTGTTCGATATGGGGCCAATTGTGCTGTTCACTCTGACATACACATGCCCGTAGCCAGGGGGAGTTCAGGGAAGGCTTAAAGGTCCACTTTTTGGTCCACTTTTTATGTAAAGGTCCATGATTTTTCATGAAAAGATGGACTGGAATCGTAGAAAAACTGCTCCCTTTGTCATTGAATAAAAATTTATCTCTGATTTTTTTTTTGAAATCCTCTCAAAAATGCACGAAATGCCATTTTAGAAGGTTCATTTTTCAAAATTCCCCGGACTCCCCTAGGTACCTCACGCCTTCGGCACTCGAGGGCCCCTCAAGCAGTGGGAAGAACCCCCCCCCATTCAAAATCCTGGCTACAGGCATGATACATACGTGTTATGTACTTTAATATGTAGCTGTCTGTCTGTCTACAATGCAAAAGAGGCCTTTTGATTTGGTGATGAAACTGTTGAGTGCTAGCACCCTATAATATAGCCTGGGTGCCATCCTATTTGTATGCCGGGGCTTCCATACTCAATCCCTAATAATGTATGGGAGCCCCGGCATACAAATAAGATGGCACCCAGGCTACCTATAGTGGGTGTGTTAAAGATGCAGCATGTTAACATGCATGCAGTTTAAGCCTTTGAAATATTTAGCTTAAGTAGATACTTGGTTTTTTTGGTGTTAATTTGATATCTCTAAGGTAGAACACTGTCTAATATGTAGAAAATTTTCTCAACCAAGAAAAATCTGGTAGTAGAATCTATGTGGCCTATGATTGGTCTGTGTACGTCAACTTGGATAGTTGAGGCTGATGAAACGTAATCACTGATTGTTTGTCACTATGTCAGGCATTTGACACCAAAATTGAAAATCTAGACCTTTTCATGGTTATACCACACACATAGTGCTTGTGTCATACATGTAGGTAAACGTTTATGACAACTTTTTATTTCCCTGCTTGTCAATGAAATTTTGAATGATGTTTTTCCTGTGAATTTTTGCACATCTTGTACATCTTTGTCATTTTCTCCCCCCTCCCGTTGTCCAATCTAGCAACCGAAAATTCACCCGAAAGTAAGTACTTACTGTATCTACAAACTTAATACTATCATTTTTCTGCTACCTCCTTTTCCTGGCATCCCATTGTTGTCGTAAAACAAGACTCACTCCCCTTTTTGAGTAAAGCAAGGAATTTTCTAAGAAAGATGACTGTTTCTAGGGGTTATGTGATGCACCATTGTGTGTACAGTAACCATGAAGAGGTCAATTGGAAAAATGTGATGTCGTGATATTCTCTTAACTGTTATTTACGAATGTAATGATTTTGGCACCTCTGCAATTTAGCATGCTTTTAGACTACTAGTATTGTAGTAAATGTTATAAAGAACTTATTAGGAGACTTTGCAGATCAAGTAGGTATGGCCAATAATCAAACGCCTATCAGAGCTTCTGACTGGAGTTCTGCTTCTCGCTGCTACATTGTGTATGTAGCTGATGTAGATGGTGCTTTTGCGGTGAGAATCATTACTCCAGATAGACATCGAAATGTAAGCAGGTCGATTGTGTAAAAAGCAGCCCTAATACCATATGCATAACCAACTAGATGAAACTATTTGGGACTGTTGTTCTATTTCTGCAGGTACATAAAGACGACAGCCAACGCTACAGTGGATCACCTATCCAGGTATCTGGCCATGCGGCTGGCCCTGGAGAAACAGAAGGAAGAGGTAGCCGGTCCGCCCAGTGTGGGGACTGAGGAGCCACAGTACACCATCTACATAGCACCCACACCTGGGCAGTTTGTGGTAAATATCATCATCATTATGAAATTATGCCGATAAAAGAGTTACAGTTACTCAAGCAACTGGATATGATTTTGGAAACCAGTTGCCTGAGTATTCACCATATCCAGTTGCTTGAGTACCCCGGTAACTGTTTTTTTTTTTGTATCTTATTACCTGAATGCCCAACCTTCACCAATGCGCTATGACATTAGACATCAAGGTAATGAGAAAACAGTTACTCAAGCAACTGGATACAAATGTAGGTGTTCAACTACAGATTCTGCTAGTCACTGATGTGGTAGTGGATGCTACCTTAAAAAACATCTGACAGTTTTCAAAATTTATCCAGCTTGAGTAACAATTTCTTGTGCAATAAAGGTCTTTATTCATTCATCCATTAATCATACAATTTCTATTTCCTTGAAGTTTGAAATATAATCTCCATTTTCTTGTGTTTTGTTTAGGCGTTGACGGGAGGTATGAGCCTGGAAGCTGTGAATGAGAAACACTGGAAGGTGAACAGACCACTGGAGATGTACTACTCACTCAAGAAATGAGCTCTTCAACCCGGGAGTGTCTACTAGTAACTAATTCATGTTCTTAGCAGGGCTCTTGCCAGCTTGAAATTATTTTCCATCAGCCCAGGTTCATAATTCGTATTTTCAAGCTTTCAAAAATGCAATTTCCTGCATTTTGAGAGGCAAATCATGGTGTTGAGAGAGGTTGTCGGTGGTCCTTCGGATGTTTTCATATTTTTGACCAAGGTTTTTGTTAATTTTGTCTGTCAAAGTTGACGGATTGGTTTAAAAAGAATTCCGTCACACGCCGCAATGTTCTTGTAATTGACAGAAAAACTGGTGCTGGCTAGTGCCCTGTTCTTAGTTGTCCTGAAGAATCCATCAAGGAGCATACAAGTCTTTTACTTCAGCTTGAAAAATTTTCTTTTTTTACATGTTCTTCCCAAGCGCTTAATATTAAAGGCATCCAATGCGATTTCAGGGCAGCAAAACTGGAAATATTCTGAATAAGGCAATCTGACACATACTGCTTCACATTAGCACATTTGAGTCAGTATTTCATACTTCTGGCATTTAAAACTGCAGAAACAAACCCCAAGATGAGTCTTTTATTTTCTGGGTGTGGTACCCTAAAAATCAGCCCAGGTCCTTCCAGTGACCATTTTCCGTCAGGATTTTGGTAAATTTTGCTCCATGAGGGTCAATATATATTGGGATAGAGTTGTTTGAACTCGGTATGTAGATAAATGACTAGAATATTGGCTTTGAAAAATCGGGTTTTCAAGCCCTAAAAACTGCACTGGATGACTTTAAGAAGTAAAGCAACGTGATCAGTTTTGGAGCTCAAGCCTCTCTTAGCTTTATAAATGCTACTAAATGGAACTGGGCCTATGGCTGTCTTTTAATTGTAATTCTTTACTTTTGCAATGTATATGTACCGAGTATGTATGGACATACATTTGTACATGTAGTTCGTATTTGTCAAAGGTACAAGTCTTTGTCCAGTTATTTGAAATTGTGAAGTTTTAGGATACATTTGAAGTAGTTTTCATAGTGTACAAAGCAGTAGACCCTTAACTACAATAAGTGTATGCAACAAGAAGTTTCTGAGCATTCCTCCTAAGCACTTTGCATATTGACATATTAAAACTGACTTATTTTAGAGCCTGTGTTGAATTTGTATATTTTCAAAATGTCTAAATACGCATTATGGATATTGGGTGTACACAACTACTAGAGAGGTTTTTTCTACTTCTGCAAGATTAGTGCATATACAGACATGACTAGCACTATAACTAACAACAGAATAGCAATGTGTGTTAGAAGTAAAGTATGTCTTGTGCAAGATGTAACTCAAGTGATATTGTCCAAAGCAACAACTCAAAGTCAATTTCTTTGATTAACATTCAGTAAATGTTATATTTAAAGGTAGGTGTACGATGTAAAGTTGGTACATTGGTAGGCTAGGCTGCCAGAAAAGAAATGCTTCATTCAAATTATTGCTTATTTGGAATGTACATGTAAGTCAGCTAGAGCATACACTGCTATAGTTGTATTGGGTTAGACAAGACATTTTTGGTGCATTCATAGGTCTGTGTACACATTATGCATAACTGTGTACTTTTTCTCTGACATGTAATACTTTGTATGCATGCTCTATCCGTCAAACACTTGTCACACTGAAAGTGAATTGCAGTATTATGTGTATAAAACAAAGAAATAGTTGGGAGAACTTGCATTATATAGATGATGATGCATGCTCAACTACAACATGTTGATAAGGTAGTGCCATTGCCGCAATCTGTACGTATCTTGTATTACAATACTAAGGTGTGCTTCGTAAGTTGCATCTTACTAAATTAAAACAATAGGTGACCCCTACATCAATGTATTTGCTGTTTTTTTTATGTTTACTGAAAGAAAACATTGTTTTTGCTATGGTTCTTCTTCCTCTTCTTCTCCAAACAAATAAGGTAAATGACCTGAACCAGACGTCTGTCACTATGGTAACTAGTGTTGGGTTACATCATGTTGCAATTTTATAGCAGAAGGGATTTAGACTCCTGTCACCATATATATGACATGTGTTCATATATATATATATATGAATTAACAGAGCAGACCAAATGCGAAGGTAAACATAATTTTTATGCATTTGCTTTGCAAGTGTTACTGGTACCTTTCTAGTTTTTGCGCTAAATTTGATACACTTTGAAATTCACACAATGTGGCAAACATAGACCACAACTTGTAACATGAGCACAAACCAAACAGTTTGCCCCCAAATCTTCCCGGAGTTGACGTCACAACCGACGTCACTTCCGGAGAGGTCGAGCACATATCTACCTCTCAGCCCACTGGGCGTCTCACACTTGACTCTATCAGTTGTGATGTTCGCTTCTCCAAACCAGTGAGCCGTTTTCCACAACTCACAGCCACACAACCAAGGGTTTCCATCTAGGGTCAAATTCTGAATGGTCGGTAAGTCACTAAACTGACTCTTATTCAGGGATTTCAGTTCGTTTTCGGACAGGTCAATCTCTTGTATGTTATTCAGGGAACGAAACGACCCCACGGCTAAGTCACCCAGGCCCATCTTTTTCAGTTCCAGCGTTTCGAGGTTGGTTAGCACAGAAAAGTCGCCATCTTGAATTTGGGCGATGGGGTTTTCGGAGAGTACTAGCTTTCGCATGGAAGGTACAAACGAGTCGCGGGGAACTGTGGTCAACTTGTTGCCTAGGAGGTAGAGCTCTCTAAGAGTCGACGGGCCTGGGGTTGCAAAGGCTTTGGGGTCAATGGACTCTAGTTCGTTGACCTGAAGAAAAAGGACGGTCAAGTTTGACATGGTTGAAATACTGTTCGCGGGGATGGTTGTGATTTTTGTCGCAGCAAAGTACAACTGCTCTAGGTTGGTTAGAGCAGAGAGGGCTTCAGTGGGGTATGTCTGAAACCTGTTCCAGGTAAGAATCAGATGCTTGATGTTAGGGGTATGTTGGAAGGCATTTTGCGGCAATGTCTGGATACCGTTACCGGTGAGATCTAAGGATTCTAGGTTTTCAAGTCCCAGGAAAGTATCGTCTTGTATGGTTTGTATCATGTTGGAGGCCAGGTCCACAGATGTGACCGAGGAGAGACCGCTGAACGCTCCATCAGCGATCTCTTGGATGCCGTTCGTGAAGAGCATGAGTGTCTGAGGAAAAAATCAGCGGCAATAATAAGCGGATTCACGGTTCCAACTGCGCATGTAAAATTTGATGCATTGTCAAAGATGAAGGCTCCTTATGCTGAGGTAACATTTCCAATCCGGGGCCCGGCCGGGCTGTTTCGATTAACAAAAAAATCAGCAATTTATATCAATAATATACGCAAATAGTTTCCATTATTATCTTTTTCAATTTTTTGCGCTTTGTTGTCTTCTATACCATACTTTTCGTTCCATAAGACTGCCCGGCCGAGCCCCGGTTTGGAAATGTGACCTCAGTACTATTAGACACAAAGTTTACAAACTGTGCTTAACGTTTTTGGACGATGAGAAAGATACTGGACAAAATTAACTACAATGTATGTCTTAAGTTTTAACACTCAACAAGATATGCCAGACTTAAGATGGTCTGCTTCAATGATTATTAGGCCATGTTGATTTGATTATATGGATGACATCCTCCGGGAGCCCCAAAACTGATGCGCGCGTGCGAATAAAAAAAAGTTTTGCAAAAAAAAAAGTTCTTTTCATTATGAAATCTACGTGGTCATGAGGGTTGAGCAAATGGCACAGAATATGGTTTGGCGAATAATCTAGTTCATTTCTTTACAATTTCGTCTTTTTTCGTTTGATTTTGGCATTCTACGACATTGGTATAGTTTTTAATAATTTTTTTTTGTAACTTATGGTATATTTTTGCTCATTTTGCAACTGTTTTGTACGATTTACAGTATGGTTGAAAACTTTTTTTTTGGAAACGGCCGAAAATTCATGCGCGCGCGGATGTCATCCATATAATCAAATCAACATGGCCTTATGTGAGTACCGCGCGTGGGGAACAGATAATCTCCAAGCAGATCTTTCAGTCTTAAATTGGAGACCTGATGGGAAAAGAAATAGAGGCAGACCTAAAACCACCCAGAGAAGAACTGTGTCAGATGACCTGGCGGACAAGGGACTGTCCTGGCGATCAGTGAAGACTGAGGTGGCCGAGAACATGGAAGGGAAACGTTTTGGCTTATGTCTCGCAAGGGATGAAGGGGATAAGTAAGTAAGTAAGATCTTTCGGTGGCCGGAAAGACAGTATCAAATTGGCCAGGCAGTATGCATCGGTCAGGCAGTATACATTGAAAGATCTTCTTGGAGATTAGTGAACCGACACAGGAAATTTCATGAATTAAGGATATAACATTTATAGAGGAGGGTGCATATGGCCCACCTGCAGTTCTGTAAGGTTCTGGAATGAGTTCGTCTCCAGACGAGGGATGTTGGACTGGGTCACCCAGAGGGTCTGAGCCCATGCAGGGATGTCTCGGGGAACCGAGTGGATATTCTCGTAGCTTTGACAGTACACGGTCAGCTGGTCAGCCATGCAACCACAGTAGAGTGGGCAAAATCCTGGGGAGAGGAAGGAAGTTCGTTACAAGACTTACATTCAACCCCATTCTATACAGACATGTTAAAAGTATTCTAGAGATGCCTTTGAATTGTATTTCAACTGTATACTCAGTTACCACAAGGAGTTTTCAATAGAAAGTTCTATTGAAAACTCCTCAGTTATCATGAAGATGACTAGACAACTGGTGGAAACTTTTGAGTTCTTCTTAACTTTTATCAATACGTTTGTAATCCTCTACACCTAAAGTTCACCTGGTGTCGGTGAATATACCCCAGTTGTAGTGAGGAGTGTAGTAACATCAGGAGTTGTCACCACCATCGAAGTCGTTGCCGGCTCGGTAGTCTCTGTGTAAGTGGTGGTTCTTGTTCGGTCCGTTGTTGCGACTGACTCCGAAGCCGCGGTAGTTTCTTCTGTCGTCGTCAGTTGTGTAGTCGCCAGCTCTGCACTGGTGGTTGAATCCATAGTAGGCGTTTGTTCAGTGTTGGAGCCGAGGTTCACGTCAGGTATTGCGGACGTTGACCTCACTGGGGTAGTGAGCATGGCGATCAGGACAGCCACCCAAACTGCCCACACGGTCATTCTATGGAGACAAGAAATCGAAAATCTCAAGATGTCGAAGATCTTATACTTCCGTGAGTTTTTGTGAAATTATTCTTTCGGTCATTATTTTGAATTTCTCAGTATGCTGTCCATGCATTTCCCCAATGCTCCCATAAGGTAATACATGTACTACTACATGTACTGGCATGCAGGTAGCAGGAAATTGAAGACGAGAAATCAGATAGCCTTTGAAAACCCAAGTTAGCAAAGATTGAATGTACACGAAAATGTTGTCAAACAAACTTTACAAAGGTGAAGTTGATTCCCTTGAAGGAACCTTAGATTTGAACCTAAACAACATCACTATATCTGTACCAAACGAATACGGTATTGAATGGTAATGTTTTGATTATACTGCACTACTACTTAAACACTGTGGGTTCAAGAGAAGGCACCACATGGCGTTACTGATATCTTACCTTAAATGCATGTCGTCTGGGCACTTGATAACTCCTGGACGTATGTGTATGAAAATGCTTGAAGTGTCTTTGGCCAAACGTACACTACGTAGTCACATGGCACACTGTGGTGACCTTTACTCCGATGACCTCACTTTACCTTCAATAGCTGTACTTTGTTTAGTTTGGCGTAAATTCCTCAAATATCCTTTTCGCAACAAGTGTGCACTTTTATTTGCAAACAGTCTCTACAATTCTACAGGATCAATTCTTTATTAGTAGTTAGGGATGACACTACATGGTTGGTTTGGACCAAAATATTACACCGCACTAGCATTTTATCCGGTAGTGACCCCTGTGGGCACATGAGTATGACGTTATAGTACGTGAACAAACAAGGTGTGGTGTTTACCGCATATGTCACTTGGGGCCATTGACCGAGCATTTGAACTGCTGGTATGAAAAATATTAATGTTTTTTCTTAATTCACACGTAGTGTAAATATGAAGACAGGCCAATATACAGTCTACACTTTTAGACGATTTTCGACGGTTTATGTTTATGTAAGAACCGAACTCCTCTGAAACAAAAACAAGACTCTACAGAGTGTATCAGAAACGTACATTTTTTTATCTATTGCTCTACTGAACATCAAAATCAAGTGACAATTTTTATATACTGACATACATACAGGTAGTAATCAACTCGAATGCACTATACTTCTAAACACAAAAACTTCTACCCTTACTTCCGTCTACCTGAATGTTACTTGCTGGAGTAACAACAACGAACACTAATATTACGTTTGTTAAATAATTCTACTTTAGACAGAATGTCAAATCAACACAAAATAGATAATGTACGTGGCCTCACGAACGCATTGAACGCTATAAATATGTCTGAAATCCATTCACTTCTTTCCCGCCACCATCCAATAAACATTAGCGATATAAAGGAAACATCATACAATACATCGTACAATACAATATATTATTCTCGTCTAAAATCTAGCCATAATCTGAAATGATACATACATAAAGACAACATTAAAAGTATCTGGAGAGTCGAATACCCCAACTTGTGTATATGGATTAAATTAGAAATAGTGCAATACGTTCAATTATTTAATTTTTCTTAATTATTACGGTTGATTATGTTGTTTCATGTTGTATAGTGCATAATGTTCAATTATTCTTAATGAGGTACACGTTTCCAGGATAAGAGCTAGAAAAGGCGATACCATCTTTTCTCTCACCTCTCCACACAAGTGTTTTTAGTAAATTCTGTCCCCCCAAAAGTTTACTAATATCAACGCGGAGTGATGCAGAGCTTTACTGTTGGTGGTTGCAGAGTGACTCCGACGCCGCTGCTGTCGGTGGATGGTGCGGCAGCGCCCTCTGGCAGCTTGAAGGTGAAGTGCTTCAGCAGGGAGGAGAAGATCACGAAGAGCTCCATCTTAGCCAGCTGCTCCCCAAGGCAGACGCGGCGGCCTGGAATGGTGAAATACATATATCATATAACAAAAAAATAGTGTCACTGACGAAAAGTAATGGATGCTACGTCTGACAGTTTTCAAAATGTATCCAGTAACGATTTCGTCGTGTATCTCATTACGTGGAAGGCTAACCTTCATCGACAAAACATAACGAACAAACAATAAAGATTTATTGACGATGCCCCTAGGCTACATTTCTTTCTAACGGGGCCCGCGCGACATGTCCCCGATCTAGACGCGTCATGAAGCCAGGCGGACGCCGGCTGTCATGATGGATTCGTCCTGGCCTACATGCATTTTTCTTGCTGGGGCCCGGGGTAATTTTAGGGGGGGGGGCATAAATGGTCCACGGCCGTCGGGACACCGCAGAGACCCGCCGAATAGTGCCTGAAAACAGCCCTCCGGGGCGCCGCGCAGTCACCGGTTTTTAATTTTGACCTAGGCATAAGACTCACCAGTAGAAAAAGGCATGAAGGACTCCGGCCGGCTGACCACCTTGCCGTCCGGTCCCAGAAACCTCCGCGGGTCGAACCTCTCAGGGTCCGGCCAGAAGTCAGGGTCCGTCAGGGTGGACCACAGGTTCGCAATGATCTTTATGAGGAAGGAAAATTTAATACTTTAAAGCATGAGTTACTGTTAATTAATTAACTAACAATCATGCAGTCCTTCACTGTCCTTAGCTTTAGACAAAATGACGAAAATAGTACAGTCAAAACTGCCTACAAAGACCACCCAGGGGACCGATAAAATCTAGTCTTATGTGGACAGGTGGTCACTATCGGAAGGGGTCTAAGTTAAGGTTAATGTTTGTGTCCATTAGAAAAATTACCGAAGAAACAACCAAAAATTGTAGCATTGGCAATTGCCTACTCTCCAAGCAGAGGTTGTGGGGGAATGATTGTTACATTTTTATATATGGCCGTTTTTTTTGTCCTGACCCCCACCAACCCCGTCGGTGGCCGCGGAGCTTCTCTGGCTAATGGATACTGTCTGGCCAATTTGATACTGTCTTTTTGCCACCGAGAGGGATCTGCTTGGAGCTTAGCAATTGCCCCGTGCCTTGTCCAGTGCGTCTTTCTTCAGATCTCGGGTAGCGGTATTGGATACTGTCTGGCAAATGGATACCGTTTGGCCAATTTGATACTGTCTTTGCTGCCACCAAAATATCTGCTTATGGATTACCTGTGTCCCAGCCGGGATATGGTAGCCCCGGAAGGCTGTATCCTGCACGGCGGCGTGCGGAACGGTGAGCGGCACGGTGGGCCGGATGCGCTGGATCTCCATAACGGTAGCCTCTGTGTAAGGCAGGCGGGACCGGTGTGCCAGGCTGGGCACCGCGGGGTCCGGGCCCAGGACACTGTCCAGCTCAGCTTGGACCTGCCAGAAAGGACGCAAAGTCTCATATAGATCTCGTAGAATTCGGCAAAAAAGGTTACCAAGGAGGCCAGTGGCTAGTCGCCACCAGACTTCTTTTGCGGGCTGAATAAATCGTAGAAAAAAAGGGTATTAATTGGTCAGAGAAGGAAGCTGGACCGATTGGAGCTTCTCTTGCCGGCTACCTTCTCTGGCCAATTAATACCCTTTTTAGACCGATTTATTCAGCCTGCAAAAGAAGTCTGGAGGAGACTAGCCAGTGACCAATGGCATGGCAATGGTTAAAGGAGACCAATGTTTACAGGCCCCATTGCCTCCTAGAATCTGCTTGGAGATGATGGCTCTAAACTGTAAGATTATGGCTCGGTACCTTTTCTTAATCTCCAAGCAGATCCTAGGGTGGAAAAAGACAGTATCAAATTGGCC